CTCAAAGGCTGCCTCTTCCACAGTCAGACTCCCTCCACCTGCCACACTCGCTCTACTCTCTGCCCTCAGAGCCAGAGCTGCAGTGGTCTCCTCATCTGAACGCAGTGCTTCCTCATCCACACCCTCATCAGTGTAATACTCTACCCCCACAGCTGCTACTTGGGGGTTCCTGAAGAAATTGACACGGTCTATTTTTAAAATGCATCATTTAAGCCAATCAAAGGTTTAATTCAGAAATTTGCAGTAATTCCTTAGGAACAACTAAAACAAACAGGTCTGTATTATGACTTGTTAAGAAACAGAATTGTAAAGGCGGGGAAGGAGACAGAGGAGAAGTCATGTGTGGAAGAGATAGAAGGATATATCATGGTCAAAAAGAGAGATGTAAACCGACACATAGATGGAGAGACCAAAAGAGGGGTGTGATCTCAAAAGACATTCTGAAAGGGGACCTGCCTCCCCCAGACGCATCCTACAAAGACAAAACCCCAGGATCCACCAACACAGAAGTAGGGGCCAGGCAGGAAAATGAGGGCAACACATGCCAAGTCCAAATAAGATGCAAGCTGCACAGACGTCGTACCGTGAACACCTTGAGAGTGATAAGGACATGCTCCCCTGAGGAGCTCCAGCCCGGAGAGAAATACCCCCGCGTGGGGCCTGGAAGAGACTGGTGTTGTGCATTTTCACAACTACAGCGTAAAGGAAGGAGAGACCCTCTGTTACTTGTCCCGAAAGCAAAATGAACTTGGAACGAGGGGAAAACTCCCCCGTGCTTACTCTACTGACCCCTGAGAAACATACTACTCGCGCCATTTTATGGAAAGGCAATTAAGAAGAGGCGATTGGCGGAGGCAGTGTTACTAAATCGTTTCCAGTTCTCTTGCCTTTGTTATTGTTTCTCCAGCACACTGCAGTTAAAGGTTCTTTAGCAACCTAGAGTTCCTTGTTGTGCAAGAAATCGAATTTATTAAATGAGTTGATATTTGTAAACTTCTCAGAACACTAAGTGCTACTGGGTGTATTAAATAAATAAAATGCTCCCGGCCAGCATGGCTCAGTGGTTGAGCGTCGACCTATGAACCAGGAGGGCATGATTCGATTCCAGGTCAGGGCACATGCAGGGTTACAAGCTCGATCCCTAGCGAGGGGAATGCAGAGGGCAGCAGATCAATGATCCTCTGTCATCAGTGATGTTTCTATCTATCTCTCTCTTCCTCTCCCTTCCTCTCTGAAATTAATAAAAATATATATTTTAAAAAATAAATAAATAAAATGCAATGTATACTACTTCTAGCCAAATGTTGTGCTCTCTCTCTCTCGTCATCCCTGTCCATTGTTCTTGTGCATCTAGGACAGGTTAACACACCTTTGATATGTCAGAAATAACATCCAGGGAAGGTTGGGGAAGGTGGGGGGGCAGACTCTCTAGTGCCCTCTTCTGGTGCCTCCCTAATCCTCCTCACCCTCCCATCTCCAACTTCCAAACACTGCTTGTTTTTTTCAGGGTGAATTTAAGAACACATTTCCCTCAAATTAGTACCACCAGAGTCACTCACGGATAATTCATGGTGCTCAATACGTAAAGCCTCCTGACTGGCTTTATGTGACGCGACCTCCCATTAGAACCCTCACTACTGACCACGCCTCCCTTCCCAGTGTCCTTGCCCTGCTATGTCCAGGCACCATTCTGTCCAGGTTTTCCTTCTCCCTCCCTCCCTGCCCTCACAGGACGTCCTTTCTCCTCCCCTGATACTGTCCATCCCGGTGCTCCTCAGGGCTCTGTCTCAGCCCCGCTCCCTTCCCGCCCTCACGCTCTCCTTCCGTGGTATGTCACTGTTGGGTAGAGCCTGCTCCCCCTCGGCCGCAGTCACCGGGGGAAGACAGATAGTTGTGCTCAACCTGCCAATTCATGACCAAAACATCTAAATTCATTTAAGTAACATTTCCACCTGTGTGATGCCAAGTACGTAGCTCAACTGAACGTCTTTTTAAAAATATATATATTTTATTGATTTTTTACAGAGAGGAAGGGAGAGGGATAGAGAGTTAGAAATATCAATGAGAGAGAAACACCATCAGCTGCCTCCTGCACACTCCCCATTGGGGATGTGCCCGCAACCCAGGTACATGCCCTTGACCGAAATTGAACCCGGGACCCTTCAGTCCGCAGGCTGACGCTCTATCCACTGAGCCAAACCGGTTTCGGCTGAATGTCTTTTTTTAAAAAATGTATTTTTATTGATTTCAGAGTGGAAGGGAGATAGAAACATCAATGATGAGAATCATTGATCAGCTGCCTCCTGCATGCCCCCTACTGGGATCCAGGCCTGCAACCCGGGCATGTGCCCCTAACCAGAATCGAACCCAGACCCTTCAGTCCGCAGGCCGGCGCTCTATCCACTGAGCCAAACCAGCTGGGGCTCAACTGAATGTCTCTTACTGAAATGGAGCCGCACACAGGTAGGTACAGCTTTAGTCCGCGGTCTGAAGAGGAGGTGGGGCTTCTCTGGCGCCCTCTTCTCTGGAGGCTACTCTCAAGGTGTTTTCAGTTCACACGGGTGATCTTTCTTCATTTTAATATGTTTTTATTTATTGATTGATTTTTAGAGAGAGAGGAAGGGAGAGAGAGAAACATCGATCGGTCACCTCCCACACAGACCCCAACCAAGGATCAGGTCTGGAACCCAGGCATGTGCCCTGACTGGGAATCCAACCAGCAGCCTCCTGGTGCATGGGACCACGCTCAACCGACTGAGCTACCTGGCCAGGGCATGGTCTTTCTTTATGCTAATTCACCTTCTATGGGGTGCATTAGTTTGCTAGGGCTGCCATAATACAGCATCACAGACTGCCTGGCTTCAACAACCGAAATTTATTTTCTCACAATTCCGGCAGCTAGAAGTTTGAGATCAAAGGACCAGCGGGCTCCGTTTCTTCTGAGGCCTCTCTCCCTGGCTTGAGGACGGCTGCCTTCACCCCATATCTTCACATGGTCTCTCCTCTGTGTCTCCAAGTTCTAATTCTCTTCTTACAAGAACACCAGTTATATTGGATTAGCCCCACCCTCACCCCCACCCCCATGACAGTTGAACTTAATTACCTCTTTAAAGAACCTACTTCCTAAAACAGTCACCTTCTGACGCACTGGGAGCTAGGATTTTAGCATAGGAATTTTGAGAGC